ACAAAAGAGAAAGAGAAAGAGAAAGAGAAAGAGAAAGGAAATCAGTGGGAGTCAGGTGGCATATACGTTTAATACATTTAATAATACACTTATTATTATTAAATTTGTAAAAAAGAGAGAAAGCAAACAGTTATGCCTTCTAGCCTTCTTTCTATCAAGTAATTGTCATCTTAATCTTTTCCCCATCCTCTTCATCCCTTCTTAATCCCCAAATCCCAAAATTATCAATTCAATCTTTTCTTCTTTCAACAAAAAGTCCATATAAGATTTCCAGTCTTTCAAAAAAATATTTGAAATGTATGCAATTTCAGTTCATTTTAAAATCCAATCTTCCACTGTAGATATTTCATTGCTTCTCCAACTTTTTGCATACAATTGTCTGCCACATAAGTTAGGTCCTGTTGATTTTAAAGTGAATATTCAAGTTAATGTATACTAGATGTACCCAATCAAAACAGTGGAATTCTTAACTGTGTATCTTCTCTATAGCTGGAGCCGCTCTATGAGTTGGTAAAGGACGTACCGTGTGCCTCAGTCAAAAAACTGTACCTGAAGCGAGCAATCGAAGACTATTTGAGTGAAAATGACCCCTGTAGGTGCAAACCGTGTCAGAATGGCGGTCAGCCAGCTGTGGAAGGAACTCAGTGCATATGTTTCTGCAAACCATATACCTATGGACCAGCTTGTGAACTGGGCGCTCTTGTACAAGACCAGCCAGGCAAGTGATTCTTCTCTTTTAAAAGTCAGGTATTTCATTTAGGCTGGCCATTGTGTAACCCTCAGTCTTCTCCACTCTTCCTTACTGTAATTTGGAATATATCTTCAGAGCTGCTACAGAAATAGTATGATTACATTAAACATAGGAAAAGAGCTGTTCTCTGACTGTGGCCAGTATCAAGCTAGGCAAAGTAGTGATTGTGGGAATGTAGTTACTGCATCTTTTGAGTCTTTAGATAAATTGCATTTACAAGAATGAATGTATATACAGATAGTCCTCATTTAGTGACTACCTCATACAGTGACTATTCACAATTATGATGGTGATGAAAAAGTAATGTTGTGACCAATCCTCACATTTACTACCTTTGCAGGTCTGTACAGATAGTCCTCACTAACTGACTACTCATTCAGCGACCATTTAAAGTTGCAAAAGCACTGAATGAGTATTACTTATGACCGGTTCTCAAAGTTCCGGCCATCGCAGCACCCCCACGGTCATGTGATCGCCATTTGCAACCTTCCCTGCCATACCATCCATCTCTGGCCTTCCTGTGCTTGTGCCACACTGTGCCATCCACCCCCATGCATGGCCTGCAGTGCCCTCCCAGGACCTCCACTGGCCTCCCCCACCCCTCCACGGAACCCTCCCACTCCTGTTCAGCACTGCTCTGCTCCTTACCTGGGACTGCCACTACTTCCTGCTTAACTATCTGTGCATCTTGGAGTTACAACCTGTGCATCTTGGGGTTACGACCGCATTGTTTAGCAATGGCAATTTCAGTCCCAACTGTTGTCATAACCTGAGGACTACCTGTAAAACAAAGGAAAGCTGAAGTAAGGTCATAAGCCCATTCGTGGTTTCACTTAACATCCACTTAACTTAACAACCAAGTTGCTGGTCCCAACTGTGGCTGCTGAATGAGGACTGCCTGTATCTGATAGTTACAGATCAGGATTCCTAATATTAGATAGTAAGGGAACCAATACATATGCACAGCTTTGAGCTAAGGAGCAATTAATTGAGTATGAAATCATTGGTATAAGCCCAGTCATGGAAGATCATTTCTTTTTTCCTCAGTTCCTTCTGAGCATCAGAAATCCTTGCTGATGCAGTGTAAATCACAAAAAGAGCTATGAGTATCTCCTGTCTCCTCACCTCTGTGCTCACACTGGCTGTTACACAACATGCTTATTAAACGAACTTATCTTATCCTAAACCTTTAAATGATCTGGTTAAGCATGCTGGTGTGAACACTGCTGCTAATTGTAACCTGCTGAGAAACTTTTGATCATGATGGGAAGAAATCTAAAATACCAACAAGCAAATAAATGCTGAAACAATTTCAGTGATGTTTCCAAGATATCTATAGCCAGCAATGAATGCTCTATTGTTGTTTAGGTTCCAGGCTCTTCCCTTTGGTGGAAAGAGCCGATGCAGAGTTTGATGCAGAGTATGCATTATCCAGCCTACAAGCACTGCCAGTGTAGCTGTTAAAAAGCTTGGTTTGCATTTGCAGAATCATAGTGTCCAGTTCATGGGAAGTAATAGCATCACTCTGTTCTGCATTGGTAGACTGTAGTGTATGGTATCAAGTTCTGCTTTCATATTTATGAAAGGCAAATGAGCAATCTGGAAACCATATTTTATGGGGAAAAGTTGGGGGGGGGGGGAAATGTACATTTCCCCTTGCAGAAGTTGAAGCAAAGATGTTCCCTGTTGCTCCAGAAGGCGGATTTAAAACCAGCGGGTGGACATTTCAGTAAGTTTGATTTTGGCTGTGTACCAGTTACAGTAAGAAGTGTTTGACAGTGAAGGAGGCTGGTTTGGGAACTGAACCGTTAAAGAAATATATATATTTCTTTATTTTATTATTTACACACACACACACACACACA